CCTCCGATTATCCACTTCATGTGTGCAAGAACGAGTAGCAGATGCGTTAAAGATCGGTTTGTGCAATGCAGCACATTTAACAGACAAGAATTATTTTGATTGGATTCCCAGTCAAAATATGGAATACTACAATCCTTGAGAAGGGATAGTAACTAAGGTTGAAGTAGACAAAATCGAAAACTTGAAGAGGTCAGTGTTATTCTTACTATCGTATTTTCTAAAGTGCACCAAGAAATTATGGGATAACTGATACAATAACCACCGACTATATGGAAAATCAACATTGTTGTACAGACTGATCTAATTATTATGTGCAAATGATCTGTGGAAACTGTTTGAAGACTATAATTCAATTCCATTAAAACATTACAAAATTAATGTGCATTTGCAAATGTTGTGCATTTTTAAATCTTTTTTTTTTCATTTATCATAGTATGTAAGGTGAGTGAAATATCATAAAACTAATTCATTATAACCATTCTTTTATTTATTTATACTTTCAATACAATTTTGTCAGTGCGAATTTTTTCCAGATAAGTATAGCTGGTATATAACTTAATTTGAAACTGTCAAATTATAGAATATTACTCAACTGTTCGTGAATGTATGTACATTGTAGTTCAACAAGATCATACCACAAATGTCAGTAGTTTTGTAGGTAAGCAGAAAATGAACTGAATGTATAAGTAATCTCGCTTTCTCAAATTCTCGATTTTGTTTCTGTAATATTTCACGTCTTTCAACCTGAGTCATTATCTCTTGCCAAGAATTGTAGAAATCCGTATCTTCACAGGGAAACCAATAATGATCAACTTTGTCCGTTAAATTTTCCGGACCTCCTATACAATACAGGTTTAGTTCTACCAATTTTATTTCCGAAGAGGTTACATTTTATAAAGTATCTGGAACAAATTCTTATATATTTGGTTGATAATACACGTATGTCTCTGTTTCCCGACATTAGACAATCCACCACCACAGAAACGAAGGCAGTTTAATGGTTCTTAACAAGTAACTAAATAACAGTACCAATTTCAAACAGATTCTCGACTATTTACGCCTCGGATTTATAAGATATGAGCAAATATAATGACGCTAATTTACAATTAATAATAATTTACAAATAAAAATAATTAATGTCGATCCGTTTATGGTTGTTTTACATTGAATTAAATGGCGATCCGTTTATAGTTGTCCTCCAACCAATAGGAGGATCAGTCAAATTCACGTGTTTGGAAATGTTCTATTGTGGCCAAGTATCTTCCGCATGAAAGCCTCTTTCCATTTGCGACGCTGCAAAAAACAAGAAAAGAGAGAAAAGATCCATTGCTGCTTGCTACTGACAAGTAAGGAGTCTTTTGTGTTTCTTAGGGAACATTCTTACTAGAAGCAATTCGCAACCGCAACCGGATTATTCAAAAAAGAAAACGCGACCAGTTTCTGGAAATGCCGTTGCTACTGCGTCAGGAGCTGCCCACTAGTTAATAAAAGATCTGTCATCTGCTAGAGTAAGATCTGCGGACTGGCAGACATAACTCATTCTCTGATGGCCGATCGGGTAGTGTTTATATGTACTTTCAACGCCTGCGTACCTGCTAAGTTATGTAGAGGGCCGATTTTCTGGAACCAGGTGCGGAATGTTAAGCAAAAATAAGACTAACTTAAAATTCTGATGGCAGGTTTTCATACTCAGGTTGTCGGAGATAAGGATCCTATGCATGGGGATCTCAATATCCGTGGGAGATACAGCTTAGGTTAAAGTAGTGAAAATTGCGTTCTTTGGGGCATATTTACATGCCGTTGAGAAACTTCATGGCTTACTGAGATATTTGGGAAAAACTAAAATTTGCCCAAATCATTTTATTTTTCTGACTTCATTTTAAGAAGAATCAAAAAGCTAACGAAAATCTTCCATTGGCACTTTTTAGGCACTACATGTTGGTGTTTTTTTAAGATTCGTTTTTGAGAAACTTTTATTTTCTTATATAGTCCGACAAAATCTAATAGCATCTTTTCCATGCTGACGTTCTACATTTTGTGCTACAAAAGTCCTAAAAATACTGCAGAAATCTTGATAAATTTCCCGAAAAAAGATAAATAAGCCAAGTAAGTACATTTTCTCAGAGTTGGCTCGAAATTTAAATGAATATGCTTCATTCAAAAAGCCTCTTACGTCTCGAAAAAAAGGAATTTTTAGGGGGAACTCAGAATAGTGTTTTACAAGTAGCTGCTGAGAACTCCACAGCACAACTTATTGTGCCTAGGAATTAGACCAGCGGATAGCAAACGGCGCTAGCATTTTTCTAAGTGGTACACACAAACCTGTGAAGAAGATTTTAGTTTCCATTTAAAAATAATATGGTCCAACAAGAGTATGGTCACTAATAGTGGTACCGCCGCAACATCACTCGGCTCGAGAAAATCTGCGGGCTAAAAAAGTATCCAGACATCAAAAACGATTTGGTCCATTTATTTACCACAACTGATTAACTGCAGAACGGTAAGTTCAATTGTTGCAACATAATCTAGAAGACTACCTGGATAATTTACCTTTGGCACAGGTTAATAGCTGTTGTTTTCAACAAGATGGTTCACCTGCACATAACTCTAGACAAGTTCGATAGTAATTTTCTCAGCGATATCCAGGAAGGTGGATTGGAACCTCCAATGAAGTATCCTGGTCAACGCGTTCCCCGGATTTAACTCCTCTGGACTTTTTTGTTTGGGGTTTTATTAGGAACCAAGTTTATCAGCATACTTTTGAAACTCAGCAGCAGTTACAAGAACGTGTAATGGGAGCATTTAGTATGCTTACACCAGAAATGTTCATGATGTTTTGAATTCTACTGTTAGAAAATCATATTTATGTTTAGAAAATAATGGCAACCTATTTGAACACCCATTGTGAGAAAAATCAATCAAAATAATGTTAAATGGTATGCGTTATTCTGTTATCATATAATCTTACATCAACCTTTGTTTGCAACGCCTATTTAATATAAAAAAATTGTTCTCTATAACTAAGAAAACAAATGTAACGTGATGCATCGTCGAATTCGTAGGAAAAGATGCTACCAGATACAGGGTATACTTTTTTTTAGACTATTCAAAAAATAAGGTTGATGGTGAAACATCGGGCACAAAATTTAAAAATACCATCATGTAGTTGCCTGAAAAGTGCTAATGCAAAAGTTCCATTAATTTTTTCAAATTTCTTAAAACGTCGGGAAAAAATAAAAATGAAATTTTAGCTTTTCCCAAATATCTCAGTAAGTCATAAAATGTTTACAAGATTCTCAAAGGCATGCAAATAGGCCCCAAAAAATGCAGCTTTTTCCTAATTTAACCTAAGCTGTATCTTACTTAGTCTAATCCCGGAATAATTGTGGTTTTATTGGTGCAAGTTGTTCAAGGGAGTATTCAAAGCATGCGACGCACAAAATGGGTACACCAATTTTTGTGGGAAAACTTTTTATTTGACAGTAAATAATGAGAAAATGTGTTTTTTGGGATTCAATCGAAAGTGTTGACAGGAACGAAAAAACTTTTCATATAAGATTTTTAGGTATTTATGAGACCTACAAAATGAGACCACACGCAATGATAGCAAAAATGTTATGGCCGAAAAACGAGTCAAAATGCAGGTTTTGGCACTTGGTAATTCGACGATAACTTCACTCAACTACTTGAAATTCTTGCAATCCGTAGGATGCATACTTCTAAATAACAAAAAAGTATACAGGTCAAGTAGTTTTTTCAGAATTTCTAATTGTTTATCCCAAAACACCAGATTTCCGGCCATCACTACTAGTTTATTGAGCAAATTCAGGGTTTGTTCAAAGAGGATTTAATAGCAAAATACATGTATTTACCTTGCCGATATGAATCACAAACCATTCCGAATGATAGATGTTATTTTTATGCGAAAAACAAAGGTTACGTTTTTTTTCTTCTAAATAAATTCAAACTTTCCGTATTTGTGAGTAATTGAACAAATGCGCTACGATATTCGAAAAACATACGTTACTATACACATTTTAAAACAAAGCGGATGTCTATCATCTTTTGTTGCGAATTACTCACAAATACGAAATGCACTGAATTTGTTTAGAAAAAAAAAACGTAACCCATGCTTTTTTGCATAATAATAACATTTATCTTCCAGCATGGTTTGCGATTCATATCGGCAAGGTAAAGTGTATTTTGTTTGAAACTAACCCTGTATATTGCTCAATAAACTAATAGTGATGGCCAGAAAATAGGTGTTTTGGGATAAAGAATTAGAAATTCTCAAAAACTACTTGACCAATCTACTCCAATTTTGTTGTGGTTATTCAGAAGTACGAATCCTACGAATTTCAAATATCTGCGAGAAACCATCGTCGCATTATCAACAAGTGCCAAAACCTGCTTTTTAACTCGTTTTGCTGCCATAACATTTTTGCTATTATTGCGTGTGGTCTAATTTTGTAGGTCTCATAAATACCTAAAAATCTTATATGAAGAGTTTTTTCGTTCCTGCCAACATTGGTGTACCCATTTTATGCGTCCATGTTTTGAATATCCCCTTGAACAACTTGCAGCAATAAAACCAGACTTTACAATTATTTCGCAAACCAGTATTTTCGTCTAATATGATTAGACTATCTCCCACAGGTAATGAGATCTCCATGCATGGGATCCTTATCTTGGACACCCTGTATACTCCGTAAAACATTATTACAAATATTCAGCAGCGTCAGACACTTCCCGCCGGTTATAAGTTCTGTGAGACGCTTTAAACAAGATGTCTCACTATAAACTGACCTCCCTCCAACTTTTTTGCTGTCGGGTTGTTTTTGATGAGAAGGTTTCGGGTCTTATTAGAATCTTATATGACTATATTACTTGCTACCTTTTGTTTTTCGAGTGCTTTTAGAGCATTTAAAACTTTTCAACTGTATATATGTACACTAGTACATATATAGTAAAAATTATAAATGATAGGCTGATTGATGTACCTGTTGCCAGGGGTGAGACTTGATCTGCGGGAACTTGAACTCCGTGTAGTTGGGGTTCATCTCCTTGATCTGCTCTTTGGTGGGCGTGCCCAGTACCTTGATAATCTCGACCAATTGATCAACGCCAGAATCACCGGGGAAGATCGGCTGGCCCAACAGAAGCTCGGCCAGCACGCAACCCGCGCTCCATACGTCGATCTTTGTCGTGTAGTCGATCGCACCGAATATCAGCTCCGGTGCCCTAAAATTAGTTATTATTGTTGTTTGAAGCTTGCAAATAATAGATACAGGGTTGCACTTCTGAACCGATATCTGGTAAAATTTCAAATTTCTATCTCGCATCAGCAAGTGAAACTCGATTACTGACCAACTGTCCAACGCAGTTCGACGGTAATCCAGGTAGAAAGATTTTTGCGTTTGATCGCAGCGGAAACTCATTACAATTTTTTACGTGATGAGTATGGGATATAAAGATTTCATTACAGCTATTAATAATAATAAAGTTTATTGTCACAAAATACAGGTAAATATTAAATATTGTGCACAATAAACATAAAGCACCCACAAAAGTTTGCACTTGTGTATTAAAAATACAATTTTGTTTACATGGAAAATATTCGCATTTGGCTGCTAAAAACGTTGGCCAGCATTGCATTTAAATGGTGGAAAATCATTCCACTCAACAGTTCTAAAATTTAGTATGGCATCTCATAATTCCCAACTTCCTGAATAAAATATAGAGGTCATACTTTGGATATACAGTGAAATTCATTTACGTTTACGAGAGAGATAAGCATCTGTTAGAAAGAGAGAGTGAGAGAGAAGTCAATAGGAAGGGTCCGCAGCGCGGCTGTAACTTGCCGCGATGCCATATTAGCATTTTCTTGAATTATGATGCATGGTGGAAATCAGCTTTAGTTTTTTTTTCTACGCCAGAATATATAATGGCTTTATTTCCGGCACATACATTTCTGAATCACGAATCGGATTGGAATTGATTCCGCATCAGTCTTAACGATTCACCGATTGGTGAAACTGGAAGGATCGCCACAAATTCTGGAATCGATTCCAAACCGATTCATGATTCAGAAATGTATATGCTCAAAACAAAATAATTATTGGTGTATAGAAAACAAACTAAGGCTTATTTCCACCATGCATAAAGATTCAGAAAAATGGTGTAACATAATTATGGATGGCACCGTGACAAGTTACAGCCGCCCCCCGCGCCCTTCCCTAGTCTTCTCTCTCTCTCTCTCTCTCGTTCACATCGAGTTATCGTATTTGAAAAAATAAAAATCTAAGTACAAAATAATAATTCATCTTACCTGTAGTAACGGCTACAAATATACGATACGTTAGGCTCGCCTTTGACAAGGTGTTTCGCACTTCCAAAATCACATAATTTTAACACTCCAGTCTCTGGGTCTAACAACAAGTTTTGCGGTTTTATGTCCCGATGACATATGCCTAATGAGTGAATATATGCTAGTGATCGGAACAATTGGTACATATATAACTGAAACAAATGAAAAACATTAAATAGGGTTCTACCAATATCGATACATGTATCGGCATATCAGCGGTATCGGTCCATTTTGCCGATAACTGAATTGGCCGATATGAGTGCCCAAATGTCAATATGGGCTGACCGATACAAATTGCAAAGTAAATTTGCAATTGAGTTGAATGAAAAACGCAATACAAGGCAATGTATACTGATTCATTATATAAAAGTATCCTCTTTTTCGTTTTTTACATAGGAGCATAGGATACCGTCAATGTACGCCGTGAAATTTTGCCATTGACAATTGATATTTTCACCCCTGATAGCGTAAAATTCATCTTGGCGGCAATGCCCACCACGAAAAAATCTCCTGTACGCTCCAGAGTTATTTCTTTGTTTCTCACTATAGTCAATCGTACCAAACTCTCCACGAGTGCTAGTTTGATAGGCGAAGCTGCGAACTTTTTTCATCCGACAAGAAAGACAGTTATATAAATTTTTAGTATCAGTTTTGAGATTAATCATTCCGAATTTAGTGATCTTTAACATTTTAATAAAGCAACGATTTGTGTTTATATATGTAATATTTTTTTGATATAAAATGTATTTGATATTTTACAATGGTCTATACCCTCAAAAGCTACCCCTGACTGATTTAGTTTTTTTACCGTCCAAAGATTCGAATTTTCGAGCCTTTTAGCCCATTTCTAGATTTATGGTCGCTTTTCTGCTTTTCTGGCCCACTGTGCAATGGTGTAGAATATTTTTCTTCACGGTTGTAACGTAATAAATGTTTATTTACATCGTATGTTTGAAAAGTATTATATATAAATCATTGGGACACAGAGATAATCTTTTCAAGAAGGTACTTCTATCTGGATTTAATTATAGATATGCTTCTTCAAATATGACTTAATTGGCATATTTTTCTGAGCATTCAAATACTATTAGCACCGTATGAAGGTCTTGTTGGTTTTCCTATACTACGTCAAGGAGAAAACGAAACAAAAAATAATAAAAACTGTAAAAATATATGTCAAATATTATCATGGATAGCATACCAGAACACATTAAGAAAATAATTACCTTTATAAAGCTGATGGGTATAGTCTGTTTTGACTTGCTATAGTGCCTCGCTACTTTATATACTGTTTCTGGAATATATTCCAACACCAAATTCAGGTACACCTCGTCCTTCTGTAAAAAATGAGATTCTGTCATTATACAATTTTAAAGCATTACTTATAACACGTGCAGCAAAAAATTTGGATTACTCAGTTTTTTAAGCCTTTCAGAAATGTGTCATAATTCCTGTTTTAGAAGTTTGACAATTGAGACAAGAGCTATGCAACTTAATATTTTGACGTTACGTCAATTGACAAGTTGGTATATACATTATCTCAGTTGTCATGGTTGTTTAAATAATTTACTGAGTTATCAGTATTTTTAAGAAACGCACCAACATTTACCTTACTATATTTGGGTGTAAATGTAGGCGTTAGATTATGATTAATATGACGCCACATAGTAGTCCAAATTTTCGTACACCCCACTAGCCAAATAATCGAAACTAGGAATTAGCAAATTACAAAACAGATGTTTAAAAAATGTAGATGATATATTAGTAAACCACCAAGATAGTCTAAATCATTCAAAATATGAATTTTATGTAGTATGGCATGTAATGAAATCACCAAATTATTTATAATCTAATTTGGATAATCCACACTGAATCACAGGTAACATTTTTGATGTGCTTAAATTACTCTACACATGAAATTATTGCATATAGAAATCAGCCCTGAATAATATAATACGTTGGTACGGGATGTATTGCAGTAAAAAGTATAAGTTAGAGAGGCCTTCTCGAATTTAAACGCAGTAGCTTGACGTGGTGGATCTACCTTTCGTGAAGCCATGCTGAAGAAATGACACAAGAGAGTAAATGGTATTTCACAAATCTTTGTAAAGTTGTTCAAAATGTATATAGCTGTATAGTTGAGTAAATTGGATTTATCTCCATCTTTCACGATCGGACACACACATATGCTATCTTCCAAACAACTGGAAAAATTGGAGTTTTCAATATAGTAGTATAAATTATGAGCATCAGCTTGACAAAAATATGAGCACAATCTTCAATAAAACCAGGTATTTGATCTTAATAGGTCCGTGAAGTTAGCCCAGAAAAATCTGGACTGTTACGTTTTTCCACCACTGGTTTAAAAAAAAAATGTAAATAAAAATTATTTTTCAGATTATTACCCGTCGTTTTTTCATCGTTTTACCACGTTTTTCCACCAAAAATTTTCATTTTTCCATATTTAGCTTACGAGAAAAACTTCAAAAAAACAACCAATGACTTGTGACGTTATCCCAGAATTGGTCAGATTAATGAAAAAAATTGAAAATAACACGTAGATAGACTTAATTAATTCAAACTTCTCGGATCATGTCCCAGCTACGTGGAAATAATTGCGAATTGTTTTTCCGACCGAACACTTTGAATTTCCACCGAAACTTTCCGTTTTTCCACCTTTAGTTAATGCAAGAAATTGGAAATAACAAATTAAGGTCATACGTAGATGGCCAGAATTAATTCAAACCTCTCTAAACTTACTCAGTCTACGTAGAAACATCACAAATCGTTTTTCCATTCTACCACTTCGATTTTCCAACAGAAAATCCAGTTTTTCCAGCTTTTGTTAATAAGAAAAATTGAAAGTAACAAATCATGATCACACGTAGATAACCTGAATTAACCCAAACTTCTTTATACTTGCCTTTCAACAGCACCTAATCCAGGTTTATTCAATCTAGACTACACGCATGGAAAAAAATGTCATATCCGCCTGCGCTAAAAGTTTTACTTCGTATAAATTTATATTTATATCACTTAAATACCACGATTCGGTGGTATTTTTTTCAAGTATTAAAATGCATAAAAAATAAAATAAAAGTTTCATACAAAATGTATAAACTTATAAACATAAACTTATTGTACGAACATCGGCTCTGGCTATGTGTACAGTATATATTTTCTGTGCGAAACATCCCTTACACATATTATTTTGGAATTCCTGGTCCGGTAGAAAAAACTATAAAGACCTAGTATACCCAAAACGTTGAGGAAAAAACAGAAATAATAAAAGAATGATAAAGTGCAACTCGCCTGGTCACAGTTTTCAAAAAAAAAGTTAGATGCCACCTTTATCGGCGTAGAGTACAGATACCTATTTTAGCTTTTTATATAGTAAGATACCAAAATTGCTACCTTTTGATTACAGCGACGTTAGCCGGCACTTCACAAAGACGTAATAGCAGTGGCGCACTATGAGTTTCGCTACTGTTATCAATTTTGGTATTCGACTAGAGTAGGCGTATACAAACACGTATATGTAAGACAATTATAATGGTAAGAAAATTTTATAAGGTGACAGTTCCCTATTTATTGTTTCATATGTGATGCTGTGGACAATAGTCTCAAGCCTTTTAACGAATAGAAAAATGTTTTCTGTAGTTCAGATACTTTGTGGTAGCAGACAAAAGGAAACTTTCGGGGGAAATCAAAGTCATAGGACATAAAAACGATTCGCAATTCTTTCCACGTAGCTTGGACATGTTCCGAGAAGTTTGAGTTAATCAAGGCTATCTACGTGTGACCCTAATTTATTTTCAATTTTTCTTAAAAAAATGTGGAAAAATGAAAATTTCTGTTGGGGAAATCGAAGTGATAGGATGGAAAAACGACTTGTGATGATTTTCACGTAGCCTGGACAAGTTTAGAGAGGTTTAAGTTAATTTACACTCAAAAATCATTGTTAGTAAAAGGTGATGATACACCGATGAAAATTGTTGGTGGAAAAAACGTGGTAAAACGATGAAGAAACGGTTTATTGACGTTTTAAATAATCTAGAAAATCTGGGCTACGTGAACTTAGCCCAGAATTTTTATTTCTCATTTTTTTTCAAGCCAATGGTGGACAAAACGGAAACTTTTGGTGGAAAAACGTGGTAAAAGGATGAAAAATCGTATGGGACACATCGTTTTTTAACAGCCCAACTTTTTCTGGGCTAACTTCACAGATCTGATCTTTATTAGACGTAAGTTCATTTAGAAGCTTATAGAGAGACTTCAGTACATCAGTTTCCGTTAAGGAGAATACCTGAATTTGCGGTTATTAGTTATTTACGAAAACTAATATCAAATATTGAAAAATGTTTAGCGTACAATGTATCACATATTCATTAACATCTATAATATTATTTAAAAACGACCAAACGACACAATCAATTTCATTTCTATCCCAATAGAGTTGCTGGAAGGTCTAAATTAGATTTTTTAAAATCAGAGACCACAATATGAAAGGAACCGATTCATGAAGCATAATTTTACAGACTAAATAAAAGATGCCAAAAACATATAGAGGAACCTCAACAAATGAGAAAATTTTAAATAACCTCAAGAATATTGAAATGCACGTAAAATTTACCATTTAAATTTCAATTTTGGTTTGTTTGCTGAAGATATATTTAGCATTTATACTACAATGCCTATTTTGTATAATTATTCGTTTTTTGGAGAAATTTTCTGTTATTCTATATTCTTAATAACACATTACTATATAACTTTATGAAGAAGCATCTTTTATGGTATGTGAAATTACTGTTGTACAGCTCTACTAGAATGAGAAAAAACAAACACCCCAATATAAATTATGATAACAGTCCGTTTGTAAGCGGAAAAAGTCATTGGTAAAAAGCGGTATAGGTTGTAGCTACTACACGAAATTAAGACAGGTATTCATACCTGTTTGTTTGGACTTGAAGCCATGAATATGGACATATTACAAGGAACGTCTGCCTGCTGCTAAGTACAAAAAATTTAAATGTTTTATTTCTCGCGTTTGGCTGCCCTACACTCATATTCGTCACGCTTCAAATGACCAATGATAATTGACTACAAATATCTTAACGTAGAAACCTTATTGACAGCCCGTCTACTTTTGATGTATTTGTCATAATAAATTGCGATTGCATTGCTGCGTGCTTTCATAGATGCTACACAGGCAGCTGGGATGACAGTAATGTTTTTTCTTTAAAAATATGTGATTTCAATTATCTCCTATATGAAGCGTGATGAAACATCTAACTGCATTATGAGTTTCAGAATTTATAGTAACCCTTACTTACTCGTGTTAAAGGCTTGAAGGACATTTTTTGGTGAAAATTGTAAGATATACAGGGTGTTTTATCAGAGGTAGATAACTATTTTAGCCGTGGCTAGAGGCTACTGAGATGATTATAAAAAAATCTTGTATGTTTATCATCCAGATACAGGGAATTTTATCGATGTTGGCCATTTATGTCCTAATAACATTTAAAACACCCTTTATATTTTTAATAATCATCATAAACGTTCCCAATTCCCAATAGATTTACACAAAATTAAGATTAACATATACGTGCGAAGTTCAGCTGTGTCTGCTTTTCCACTTCTGAAACTTAGTACGCTTACTCAGCTTATGATGTCGAATCGACTATGATACAAAAAGGAAAACAAATACAGGTCCGCAGGGTTGTTACGTAAAAATGTCAAACAAAATGGATTAAACGCCAACTTATTGTCTAGGTAGGCTAGAGCAAATAATTCATTCCACGCTTGCTACAAGTGAGCATAAAGTGCACCACAGCTAGTTCCAAATTGACATCTTTTAGGAAAACCTCCATAATGTAAAAAAAACCGACATAGTATCAAAAAAAACTGTCACTTTTCAGGATATGTAATGCTCATTCCGGACTAATTAAAATTTGACAAAACCGCCTTACACCCTGAACATAATAATTTTTGAAAATTAAATTACACATTTGAAAAGAACAAAGAATCTTCTGATTTTGTTCATCTTGGTGTACCTTATTTTATAACTTACTACTTATACCTAGATGCACCATACTAGTTTTAAATTTAGGTTATTTTAACAACCATTTACACTATCTAGACCAATAAAAATATAGTAGGTCCATATTAACAACTTAAGGTTGGTGGTTGCGTATTCACACATTGAGGAAGTCTCTTAAATTTATTATACACGATTATTACACAGCCGGAACACCACATGCAGAGAGAGACTTCGTCAAATGCAAATCTCCTCAATATGGGGCTACACAATAGCCCACTTTTAGTTCTTAATACGGACCTAGAAGTATGCTTTTACTGATCTAGATCAGGGGTCGGCAACCTTTTGAGACGGAAGAGCCAAAAGATACAATTCACAAAAACCATCAATTGCATTTGAAACGAACCAGCATTAATTCCAAATGGTTCAATGTCGATCTCATTTATATTTGTGTCGAGAGGATTTACTATGAACTGGAGAGCCGCAATTTGACATCAAAAGAGTTGCATGTGGCTCGCGAGCAGCAGGTTGCCGACCCCTGATCTAGATGTCTTTCTCAAAGTGGACACTAAAGCCCCCTGTGGAGGCTGGGAACCTAGGATGGGGTTGTACGGAGCCTAGTGGAAATAGGGGCAATGGCTAATTTGTGATTTTTAAATAAGAAAATTTACGAATCTACACTGATCGCTAAGATGACATTCTTCTAAATCTAACACTAATGTGGCATATATAGTCTGGCTGGGATAGTAAGTTATTCAACTAATGGATCATAAAGTCTTCATCCTTGTACTCTAAAATGAACAAAATATGTATATGCAAATCATGCAAAATTGCATGTTCACATAACAAAAGAGGATCGTTAAATGAAGCTCACTGTGATGTTTCCAAATATAACAAAATTCACAAATTCCAATATACGTGGTGTTGTTTTGGGGCAAAATGGTTCTCGCGTACCAAGTTTCAGAAAATAATTTAACAGATGGTTAAAAAGTTATGACGCCATAAGAGATGACCAAAATCAATTAAACTCCTGTATCTCGGTTATAAGGGGTTGAGGACCAATCAAACATAAGTTATATATATAACACCCACAGTGACATCCAATCATGGTTAAAATATCTCCCAATGAAACACCTTGTATAGTTTCTTTCACGGTTTTGGGCATTTACGTCATAATGAAATTGTAACCACATTGACTAAGTGTAGCATATGCGGAGCTCAACATCTCTAACGGAAATTTCACACTGCGCAAGCTGATCCTAATGAAGCTGCTACTCCCTTTTGCACATACATACGGGTTGTCTTCATTAACCTTCTGGAAATACTTCTATAAATTTAATACAGACTGTCGACATTGCAGTTGTATTTTCAGGCACTGCAATTGTGGAAGACAAAACTAAAGAACGTATGTTGGAGAACTAACTATGGGATCAAACTTGTAGGGGTTATTCAGTGTAACAGTAGAAAACATTGGTTATAGGGACCCATATCCGGAAAAGTGTCACTACGGCCCTAAGACGCGTTAAAAGACGATGAATTGCCTAAATAGGATTTAATGCATTTAATTTTTGCCTTTTGTACATGATATCATCACAACAATTGTTCTAAATGTGGCGTTTCTTGGAGGAAGTTCTTCCAGAACTTCTTGAAAATGTTCCATTGAACGTTCGACAGCAAATGTGGTTTCAGCATGATGGAGCGCCGGCTCACTTTGCTGTACAAGTACGTGAGTATTTGGCTCAGCGGTTTGGGCACCTTTGGATTGCCAGAGGTGGAGCAGTTTCTTAGCCTCCTAGGTCACCCTATTTAACGTCGCTAGATTTTATTCCTGTGGGGACATATAAAGTCTTTGGTTTACGAAACTCCAGTAGAAACAGAGCAAGACTAAATTGGATGAATTACAGCAGCATTTGAAATCATTCAAAACGAGTATCAAAGTCCGCCGAAATCATGTGTGACGTTTAAATCGGTGTATTCAGGCTGGAGGAGGACATTTTAAACAATTGTTGAGATGATATCATGTACAAAAGGCAAAAATTAAATGCATTAAATCCTATTTAGACAATTCATCATCTTTCTAAATTTTAACGCGGCTTAGTGCCGTAGCGACACTTTTCCGGATATGGGTCCCTATACTCAAATGTTTTCTACTGCTACACTAAATAACCCCTAGAAGTTTGATCCCTTAGTTCTGAAACTTCTTAGCAGAATGAATGGAATTTGTGTGGCGGGATCTTGGACATGATCACTGACAGGTTGCCGACAGCTGTACGAACAGGGCTATTGTTACATTGAGATGAGACCGGTATGACATTTCGGCCTTCACTTATATGCTGAATGAAAAGAAAACAGTAAACACTGGAATTTCCTCCAAAATTCGCTGTACGGCAAATGTTATTAATCAGTAATCGACTGCTATGATGATGGTCGATAATTATCGCCTAAAATTTCAAAAATACAAATTCTTGTGACATATGATAATGATCGAATACGACTTTTCACAATTTGAAAAATACGAGCCCAGAATGTGAAAATGCAGGGTAACGGTTGCGCACACGTCATAATTTTCATCTGCCATCTGAGAATTTATCATGTGAATAATAAAGACGATTTTTAATCAACGGAACATTTAACTAAAAACAAAGCATTTGACCCATCAAAGGTCTAGACTGACCATAACCCACCCCCCAATCAGAAATAAAAAAATAAAAATGGAGAAACAGGTAAATCGAACGCCCAATATTTTTTTCGCATTATAAAAGCTAAATTAAACGGATCGATACATATTTTTGTATCAACAGAGCATTACTAATGCATTTTCATAAGAAAAAAAATAAGGCATACTTATCCGAGTAATTAAGGGTTACAAGACAAGTCAATCGAAAAATTAAATTGTTGTTTGCATACTTTTTTGTCATATCTGACGCAATAACTACTCAAAATGTGAAAAGACTGATACTAGCGTGATAACAGTTCTTAAATTTCCATGTTTTCACTTTACTTTGTTTCACTATTGTAAACTATATAAACACACAAAATAATTTTTCGACGAAAGACTACAATAATATAATAAAATCGACCTTAGGATGAAGATTGGAATCAATTAAACTGACGCAGCACTTCCTAAGAATAACTATTATTTCAATTTTACATGTTTATGGAAACGTGGTTAGGCATAACCACTCCTTGGAAAGAGTAGATATATGTAGAACATATATGATATTACCTTTTTTATTTGATAGAAGAAGTTAAAACTATACACTAGATCTGAACTGAATTGCCCCAAATTTCTAAACTTTTTAATAAATAAAGTGATGAGCTTACCTTATCTCCACTGGAGTAAAAGAAATATTTTAGTTTAACTATGTTACAATGTTCTAATTTCCTCATAATTTGCAGTTCTCGATTCTGAAAAAGAAGAAACAACATAAGTGTCAGTAGTTGAAACAAGTGTATACATTGTTAAAAATGCTAATTATTCAAGGAATTTTAGAGGAAGTAGCTGCTGAACTATTTTATACGTACGTCAGGGCTTCTGACTTCATTTATATGATTAGTTTTTACCTCACTCATTAAGATTCATTTTTGCAGAACATGAATATGATGGGAATTAAAAAATCTTCAACGGGGTTTGTCCCAAACTTTATCCTCTGGTTGGCGCTGTTACTGATACAGCTCAAAATTCTTATACTTTTTTCCAGTTGGACAGGTTTAAGAGATACAGGTACAATGCTATAACAATGGCGCTAAATAGGTCTAGCTGTGCACTCTACCTCAATATTCTTGTGTCAAGATTTTCATATTTCACAGGTAAATACATATCTCAATCTTTCAGTTAGTTAGTTAGTTTCATGCTGCTATTCATTTCCAAGTAAGAAACTTAATCACCCGAGTGATCTTTGAATTTCGATAGCGTGATAGTGCCTTATGCCTTCTTATTGCACTTTGGCACTTCGTCGCTAAGTAGTGCTCGTGTTTTTAAAATGCTGGTTAACTGTGACTTTACTGTGAATCGGAAGTTAATTCACAAAAAGCGTTCTTCTATGTCAAATTCAACCTAAAATGATTGATATTGTTAACCAGAGAGAGGTCCATCTATGGGTTAAGTAGAAAGTTGTAGATGAACCCCAATTTCCTATCTATATTGCTTAACAGTGACAAGAGTTCACGAAACGCATATAACGCCATAGCTTACACGTCAAATCAGCGTTACCGCATCAACAATAATGGTTTAGTTAAGTAGAACTTGAAACACGAATTCTGGGACAACTAAGAGTTACTTATAACCGTTCTCAGGCCTTCGAGCGTGAACGTACCACCCGGCGGATTTCTAAAGTGGGGCCAGAATATGTGCATGGTACATGCACATGAGTACCCCCGTGTGAGTCCATGTGGCGTCCCCTTTCCCCTGTACCCCCCTATAGCCCCAAGGTACCCCACACGTACCTTAAGCCTGCGTGGAGGCCCAAGTATAAAAAAAACCTGAGAGTTAACTGGGCCTCACGCTTGCAATTTTTCGCCAAAAATCTATTCATTTCTGAGTCAGATACTTGGCATGCATGCACTGTCTATACGAGGGTGGTCCCAGAAGTACCCGACCTAACGAAGAAAACACAAAAATTTTGTAAAAAAAAAAATATTTATTTTTCAACATAATTTCCTTTGTTACACTTTTCCCAGCGATGTTCAATAAGTTCTATACCCTTTTTATAAGAAGAACTGTGTTGCTCCTCAAAATAGCCATTAACTGCCGACATCATCTTCATCGTTGGAAAATCTTTGACCACTGAGCCATTTTTTCAAGTTTGGAAACAGAAAATAATCCGAGGGGGCTAAATCTGGTGATTAGGGTGCATGAGGTAGCAATTCAAACTTTAATTCGTTAATTTTGGCCATTGCAATAACGGATTTGTGAGCTGGTGCATTGTTTTGATGAAACGACACTTTCTTATTAACCAAATGCGGCCGTTTTTGCTTGATTTCATCGCTCAAACGTTGCAATAAGTTCGCATAATACTCGCCGCTGATAGTTTTACCTTTTTCAAGATAGTCAATGAAAATTATCCCACGCGCATCTCAAAAAACCGACGCTATAACCTTGCCTGCAGATGAAACGGTCGCCTTCTTTGGAGCCGGTTGTCCCTTTTGAGTCCATTGTTTTGATTGTTCTTTTGTCTCGGATGTGAAGTGATGGACCCATGTTTCATCCATGGTTATGAAACGACGCAAAAATTCTGCTTTGTTGCTGTGACACTTCGCTAAACACTCAATTGAAACATCTTCACGACACTGTTTTTGCTCGATTGTGAGCAATCGCGGCAGCCATCTTGCACACAGCTTTCTCATGTCCAAATTTTCAGATTATATGCGATGAACCGCACCTTCACATTCAGTACCGCTTTGTGAATTTTCTTCACCATTTCTGGAGTCGTCACCTCATTTGGTCGACCACCGCGATGCTCGTCCTGGCAGCTCATACGGCCTCGTTTAAACTCTGCTACCCAATATTTTACTGTTGTAAACGAATGAGCAGACTCACCCAGAGTAGAATCCAGTTCAGCTTTTATATTGGTTGGGCTGAGGCCTTTGAAATAAAACTATTGTACCACTTAACGATGACCAATTTTCTCCAATTTCACAAATTCACTGAAAACGTTGATGGCCGCCAAACAAATACTAAACAACGTGGCGTCTTCACACTTGACACATGCTTTATAGGTTGCATTCTTTCTAATACAATGATATTTTTCAAACAACTATCGCCATCTCTAGGTCAGGCCGGGTACTTCTGGGACCACCCTCGTATGCATGAAAGTCCCGCAATTTTCACCACTCCGTGTTTGTGGAACAAATTATAAACTAATAGTCAAGCGACTTCGTTGAATAGAACTGCAGCTAACCGGCACATTATGTTTAAACTGATCATAAACTAATTGAGCATTGTTCATTGAAATATAGTAGCTATAACTAATAAGCAACTAAGTGACGACTCAACGTAGCAATCAGTCTCTTTTTACTCTCATAATGGGCGGGAGCCTCAGAGGTATGATGTGCATGTGGAACATCTGATCAGATACACAAAACTCTCAGTTAAATATAGGCTGTATGCTAGGAAAGTTATTCCTAGCTCATATTTCCCACGTAAATGCAATAATGATTTTTATGCAAATTGAAGTGCATTTATGCATTCAAAGCGAATACTGAGTGTTAATCGAGGCTATTTTAAGACCGACTTGCGGAAGTCACTTCTACTACTTCATATATATATATACGTAGTCGTGCCATAAGTTCTGTCCCATGATAATCTCATGATAAAAATGAAACAAGATAAGATATATTTATATGAAAGATATTATTTATTCGACAACATTTTTAGAATTCATAATCAAACAGTTTTATTCAAAATGTCCCCCCTTGGCCTTCACACACTGCTTCAATCTCGCGGGCCACTCATCTATCACTGCACGCACAGCTTCCAAAGGAATAGCTGCCGCTGATCGGATCAAATCCGCTTTCAGGGACTCGATATTACGGTGGGCTTTGGAGCAGGCCAACTGCTCTAGCAGGTCCCACAACTTGTAGTCTAAAGGATTGAGGTCCGGACTCCCTGAGGGCCAATCTTCCGCAGCAATGAACTCTGGCACATTGCTTTCCAGCCAGCGCTGCGTACTCTTAGCCTTGTGAGCGGGGGCGGAATCCTGCTGGTAGACCCAGTGTTGGTTGGCAAACAATGTACCACTTAAAGGCTTGACGATAGGATCCAGTATGTCGCTCTGATAGTTTGCCGCTTTTGTTTTCACGCCCTGTTTACAGAAATGGAGCTGAGTGACCCCTTCGTAGGACACCCCCCACCAAACCATGACTGACGCAGGGTGGTGGCCTCTCTCAACTCTCGGAATGATCTCCGAAGCTTCCTGTGAACTGCTTGCATACACTTTGTCATTTTGTCGGTTGAATTTTTCTTCTATGGTGAAGATTTTCTCATCCGTGAACAAGATCTTTCGGAATCCCCCAGCTGCGTACCTCTCCAAGAGCTTCTTGGATCTTGTCGCCCTGATGTGTCGCAAGGTGGCCGTAAGTCGCTGGCCCGTACGTCTCCGATAAGCCCCTAGCCCTAGGTCTTGTTTAATGATGCGCGACATCGTCCGGACAGGAATCTTCATTTCCCTGGATAGGATCTTCTGCTTCCGGAGTGGATTCCTTTGAATCCTGGCTTTTACGGCTTTGATGGCTGCTGGAGTCCTTACTTGACGAGGTCTTCCGCTTCTTGGCCTGTCATCAACAGAGGACGTCTCATTGTACCGCTGAATGGTCCTAGACACAAATTTACGCGATATTTGAAGGCCGCGTAAGAGTTCAAAAATCTGACTAGCACTGTGATTACACTTATGTAAAGCTATCACTGCAATACGGTTCTCTGCCTTGCCCCACTCCATCGTTATGCTTCGAGAGATCAATACAAACTGAGGTATATGTAATTACCCGAAAAGCGCTTAATCAACTGACACCACAATGTAAACAATCGGACAAGTATTAACAGGTCTACACTTGTTTGAAAACGAGGGACAGAACTTATGGCATGACTACGTATATATATATATATATACAAACGTCGTTCGATATTAGTTCGAGATTTAAGGGTTGTTCTCTTGTACGAGGAAGTTCAAGGTAATGTACGTCTTTTCCGAAAAGCTTTGCAACAGATAAACCCAAGATTGGCCGATAATTATCTGAAAATAACTAAATTGCTGCTAGTTAGTTTTATTAGTTTGACGTACGCTGATATATCCAACAAAAATTAAGTAAGATTGGACAAAGCAACAGGAGCGAGTAATCCCATTGTTTTCCGACAATAACATCTAGCTCGTTTAGTAATACAACGCATTATTTCTACATACATATTTGTAAGTATACATTTTGTTTTGTAGTTTTCCCCCTATAAAAAGTAGTATGTGAATTTTTCATGGGATTTTTTTTATTGTTCCATCACCACAATACAAATGCACTTCTTATTAGACATAATTGAGCTTTGAAACTATTGGTGATAGAATAACTGAAAAATGAACAAACGATATTATAATAACAATAATATCACCCTGCTTTTGTAACGAATTTACTAATTTCATCGATTTTTTTCTTCCGCATCAACATTTGTCAACATTATCTCTGATGATAAGAATTTTCTCTTAAATGTATCTTTGAGGTATGGTTTATGTTAAGCTATCTCTTCACAATGTATATAATATTTGGATGTAGGGCCATTGTGGATTATGCCAAAAAGTTATTCGGCGGATATATGCATTTAAGTACTGTTTTAGTTTCGTTGAATATATTAAGTTCTAGAGGCCGGTTAACAGCGACGAGTTATTACGGATAACACAAGTCACAAACATCACAAATCACAAAACGCACAGAACATGATACTTCAGACATAAAAGTTGTCTCCTCAACAAATATGGCGAACTTGAAAAACGAATTTAAGGGCAACTAATATTCAAGTCAAAACAATAGTTACCCAACCTGAAACTTGAAAATATGCTTTGTGGGTTTTAAGCTTCTGGAATTTTCGATTGATTTAAATATGTTAATATGAACTAATCATATCATTTACATCACAAGCTAACTCAATGCCGACCAATATCAAAGTGATATTCGATCTAACATAGGTCAAGATGCGCCAGGGTGGTTTTCAGCACTCAGGTCTAGATTGGTTTTGAGGAGAGGAAGCTTTACATTTATTATAATATAGTTTAGATGTAGCTTACCTTAAACCTCTTATCCTGCAGCACCTTCTTGATGGCGACCAGTACATTGGAGTCGCAAAGACGAGCCTGGTACACGACGCCAAAGCTGCCATTGCCGATGACCTTGGTGTCCGTGTAGGAGACCTCCTGCGGCCTATCCGGCCCTTGTCCTGGCGTCGCTATCACCGTCGTCACCTTGCTACCGTCCTTGCCTGATGATGATTGCAGATAACCGCCACCGGCACGGGGAAAAGGAGAAACATTGCGAGATTAGTATCAAACATTCAAAAATAACTGTCATAATAGAAACAATTATTATTCTAGAAGGTACCGCCCCGTCCTTTAGCATGAGTTGTCTATTCCTTATGCTCGATATTGTTCGAACGATTTGGATAATTTTTTTAACGTGGATGCATGTTTAGTGCCTTTTATAGGGAGTGAGAGAAAAGTTGTCAAAGCAAGGTGGTCTTGAGGTCTCTCACTACTTTTGATTTAAAAATGTAAACATAGACAGACCATGGGGGTGAGAATGAATAGAGGAATGATCAGTTGTTGGAGAAGAAAGAGGAAAGCGTAGGAGAGCATCTGTTAGAAAAAGGATTTCCAATCCCAGGTCCTCGAGCATCAATGAAAGATGATGGTTGACGGGTTGCGGTTCCCAGGGGTCGTCGGGTGGGTCAATAAGGATCTCCCGGAAAGATGGTCCCATAACTCATCAACTAGAAGCATTTTTTCTAGTGGGGGGAGGGGGGGGGGGTGATCAAGACGGGCTTGCTTATGTCAAGGCATGCCCGGTTGGGTGACTTCATCCTCCTTTTCACGTTGCCCACCGCGTTTTAGTTCGCCCCTCCGAGATGAGGAATGTTAGAAAGGGAAGGAAAAAGGCAAACAAAAACAAAAGATAATTTTTGTTGCACAACCCTGCGCTGGGTTGGCAGAAGGTGGAAGGTCGGTTGTTTATTAAAAACAATATTTTGCAAAACTGGAGTCGCTAACTTATCTGCCGTTTTAGTAGACATGTTCCGATTAAAAATATGAGCTTCCGATATCACGGGTTTTATGACCAGGGATTATGAAAAGAAATTTATCTTTATTTTAAAATTACGGCTAATAGACGAGCTTCAAAGTAGTATTTTTGTGAAATATATCGAAAGCCTTACAAAACAATATTTGGGAATTGTTGATTAACGCGATCAATATGCTCCGTGCACATATTTATATTGTGTTTATTATTTTTAATTGGAACGTCCTCTCGTAAAACAGCAGAAAAGAAAGCGACTCCAATTTTGCAAAATATTGTTTTTAATAACAATCGATCGCCAACCTTCCGCCAACCCGGCGCAGTTTGCAAGAAAAATTGATTATCAGCTGTTTTCACTTTTTCTCTTTTAAAATGTGGGTACGATACCCCATCTCGCGGGGTGAACTATAACGTTGTGGACAACATGAAAAGGGGAGAATGTCAGCTAGCCGAGCATTTTTCGACATGGACAGGTCAGTCTTTAACATTCTTCCAGCAGATGCTACCAGCATATGAGAAAAGAGTTTCTCCGGGGTATACATACTGACACATTCATTCACCCACTGGGAACCGCAAACCGTCATATTTCATTGATTTATTATACCAGGGAGTGGAAAACCTTTTTCCTAACAGATGCTCTAGGCTCTGGTATTTTGTGTTCCGCCTCTTAGACCATAAGTAACACCTGACATTTATTGTGTGGTTTTCATATTGATAGAACTCCATGATCTGACCAAATGAAAGAACGTAACTGTTTCTTTCCAATTTTGAAATAATCAAAAGAACTCATTGATTAAGGCTGCACTTTCGTGTTTATAGTATAACATGACAACAATCTAATACATATTTCATGCGGCTTCGATTAAAAGCACGACCTTTCATAACCCATGTAACAGTGATTGATATGATAATAAAAATTAATAACATAAAACGTATATTGGATGGCGCGGCTGCAAGGAGCAGGACGCAGAAATTAAAAATATGCCTAAATTTTGCATAACGGCCTTGTTCAGAAATGTTTTATTTTCATATATTGATCAATCAAGTCGCGAACTACCCGATGATGGACCTACATACAGCGCGTTAATTTCATTAGGATTTTTTATCGGGAATAGAATACAAGTTTCAAGAAATTCATGCGGTCACCAAAATGCCAAGTGTCGCGATTGTATACTTCATTACAGTAAAAATTATGATAGGCCGACAATATTTTTACCCAGAAACCAACGTATAATTTCCCGAAGGTTTTTGATGAGCTGAATCCGAATCCGTAGTCCTAATATCTCAAATGTACAAAAATATCATTCTGTGTCTATATTTGAAGTTATGAACCACTGCGATTTATTTTTTTAACCATAGTCAGACCACAAAGTACTTATATGAATATCTTTTCTTTAGCTGAGATATGGCACTTTAAAATTTTCATTTTTCTGATCTAGAGTGGTGCAGCTTCTATCAGAAGAAAGTAATTCTTATCTATAAGGTGAGGCCGAGATTCAAGAATCATCCAGGCTGGTCCGGAAGCACCTACTGCCCCATCTACCAGCTTCGAGAAGGAATTGAGTTTTTGCTACAAAAACCGTCGATTTGGCAATTAAAAAACAAATAAATACATACAATACCTGAAACTCACCCAAACCACAAGCCAACAACACTCCCTACCCTATAAAGACCAAGTTTAACGTTCTTACTTTCGATTGTACAATTTTTTGAAAATAAAAGATTACTTTCTTCTGATAGAAACTGAGCTTATCTAGATCCGAAAAATGAAATGAAATGAAATGAAAATTTCAAAGTGCAGGGGTTGCACTTTGAGATGAGGTCTGTTTTTTTTTCTTTGGGAAAAGAAACGCTCTACAGCCAATTGAGAGATTTGGACGACGGATTCGGATTCAGTGCATAAAAAAAATATACTTTGGTTTTTGGGTAAGAGGGTCGGCTCAATTATGTCGGCTTGTGTTATTATTGCATGACCGCCTTATAGTTTCATTCTGTTGATGCTTCATTCACTAACAAAACAAAAAAAATGGCATCATGTAGATTTACTCTGTACTTCCCACGAAACAATATATCATTTTTGAAATGTTTTTCGATTACGATACTTCCTCGGCAGTGGCGTGGGAAGTGATAACAGCAGAAGTAGTTTCCTGTCAGACACCCTATTGATCGGCCTTTTTGAGTGAAGATCTGAGAGGTCAAGGTACAGAGGTTAGGAGAACCTATACCTATACATAGTAAATACATTAGCAAATATATAAAATACGATTTCCGTGAGATTACAAGCGTAAAACTGAAGGTTTCTTGGGCTGTATTTGGTTCGCAAACTGTTAGCATTGGATCGCTGGTGACATTACCTTCGTTTTTCCATGCCAAATAGGGACCAAGCGAAGTCATTTCAATAATTCCGCGTAAAATCGATGTGTCGTTTCCCTCTCTTTCTCTCGCAATTAAGCCATAAAAAGCGAATGCGTTCGACTTTTTACCGGATTGGTGTCTCCCTTGTCAGTTGTTATGGGTATCGTCCCGACCGGAAGAGGGCAGCAATGTTTTGTTGAGAATTCAATCGCACAGCTGGGCGAAAAATCTGGTCAGCTCCATTTCGCGAAAATTACCTTTTAGTTAGATTTTAGTCGCCTCTGTGTGTGAATCATTTCAAATAAAAAACGGGCATATCAAGGTTTTATAGTATGAACAAAAGAATTATGAGAAAAGTGAGAGAACATAATTTTGAAAGCATAGTTTTAAGGAGGGTTAATTACTTAAGCCAACCTACTTGTCATCATTTTTGTCAATTATTTTTATAAGGTACTTATCGAAATCCATATGTTCAGGTAGTACTTGCGTCTGATCTTGATTTTTATATGTTCAAGAAACATGCTTTTGTGAAGTTTGATTAGAATAGACCGTATTGTTCCTGAGATAATTCCGATAATATCTACATGAGCTTTTATGAGAACTTGATTTTTCCCGTATTATTTCAATTTTATCAAATCAGAATTTATAGAAATGTATAAATACTAATCATATGAAACTTGAAAGGCACTTTGCCAGAGGCTTTTCCTTTAGTGCCGCTAAGCTGTACAACTCCTTGCAAGATGATCTTAAAGACCTGTCACTTATCAACTTCAAAAAAAGAATGAAGTAAGTTGCTGAACAGTTAGTTGATGTCGTAGTTACTTAGTCCCTGGCTATGAATTAGGTTTATGACATGGTTTATCGTACCCTTTTGTAATACTTATTTACTTCTTTTTTCGTGAATCATTTCTCATTCAAATTTATGAAATATCGTTAGATTACTATCATTTATATGTTTTTTTGTATTGTTTGTTTTTTTTATAGATTATGGTGTGTACCAGTGCAAAAGTTTAATCTTGATGTTTTTTACTTGGGTTAAGTTGAAAAACAGCTAAGCTGACACTTCGCCTTTTTACCTGTGCTACTCTGTACTGTGTGAATAAAGCCCTGTTATTATTATTATTACTAAACCGTTACACTAAAATCTGAAGGAAAGACACCGTCACTCTTTTTGAAATATTCGACTCTTAAGTTGATAAATTTCCCTTATTGATGTTTTTCTCAGATTACAGCGTGTTAATGATAGGCCGTAATTACAAGGGCACAATCCAAATTTAAGTAGAAATGTTCATATAAACATGTGTCCTGAAAAGTCTGGTTTCAAAATTTAAACAAAAAAATTGGTTTTCACTATCTTATCTTAAAGACCCTTGTGCTGGTTTTGTTGACTTTTGAAAGTGTGGTTAGTTGCAATATGACGCGAAGTTATCATTAACTAGAAGGTTAACAAAACATGATGCTTTCGTCAACCAAAGCGCCATGTTTAGTTTGTTCAATTGCAAATACACCACATCTACTATACAGCCAGAATCGTCAGACATCTAGCCGTCACATGGTGACTGGGCACGAACTGAGATCTTTACAGTTCCAACAAAAAGCAACTATGGTTTTTTTGCAGTGGTCATTTTAAATAGAAAGTAATTATGACTTTCAGTGGCATCTCGGAGGACAAAAAATTATGCCATCAACTTTTAAAAGAATCCTTACTAATATTGTAAATGAGAAAGCGTGGATGTTTGTTGATCACGCCAAAATGACTGAACAGATCTGGATGAATGGTACAGATATAGATTATAGTGGAATAGCACATATGCTACTATATAAATTAGTAAGTGCACAAATTTTGCGTCTCTTGGTATTGTGGTTCAAATGTGATGCTGACAGACTGGAGCGACATTCACATTAAAATCTTGAATAACAACTATTACCAAAGTAACTATTCCATCACTTTGAATATTGCATTTCTTTCTTCTCTTCCAAACTAATGCAAGGTGTATGACCTAAACTTTACACTACTTCCATGCGAGCGAAGCCGCGGATTTCGGCTATATATTTTTTCGGGTTAGATAGCTAATGATATATTTTTTGTCTATTGGCGTATCTTCCTATCTCACTTCTTTTCCGAGGAAAAAGAAACCAATTTTATTACATTCCGAAAAATTGCTAAAATCAAATCAACTTTGATCGTCGATATTGTTCTATTGCTATGAATATATTTTTGACATTCCGTAGCAGTTTGCTGTTATTTGTCCTCTGTCAATAGGTAATTTTTTTAAACTATGACACTGCATCTCGGATGCCAGTCTATTTAGGACACATGTTTGAATGACATTTTCTACTTGAATTTAGTTCAGGAATGAGCCCCTATAATTACGGTCTATCATTAAGTAACAACTTGTATGTAATTATAAAAGGAAACAATTATAGAAATAACAAAACTGACAGCATGAAATTTAAGCAGCATCACAACGTTACTGCAGGAAGTCAATACTCTATTTAGCTTCTGAAATTATTAAACAAGAAATGAGATAATAATTTGTCGTACTTGTGCGTCCGGTACCGAAACTGAGCACGGTTCAGGTTTTCGTTACTGCTGGACATATTGTGTGTGGTGATATTCTGTCTTAACATGCATACAATCTTCTAAAGTGGAATTGTTATGATAATGATTCGAAATATTGTTTGAATCCACAGACCAATTTTCATAATGATCCTAGAAAATAGCACAGCGAGACAATTTTATCAAAGAATTTATTTCAAGCGTTGGTGGGATTTATAGAGCAAAAACTCTCGATATCAATCTATGGCGTTGGACACGCAAAGCTCTCACTCGCGTATTTCTACGACACCCACCAACATAAAAATACAAACAAATGTGTACCGCATGTCGCATAGTCGATGGAGGTCACATTTAGATACTCAACGATGGCTTTGTTTCTGTGGAAAAATAATCCGGAAAGCAATTTCGAGAGATGAAAGATCCAGTTCAATATCTCTCTACACTACAGTAAGGGAGTGACCAAACGATGGAAAGATAGGTATTTGTCACTTGCCACCATCTAGATGGTATCCAGAGTGCTATAAGAATCTCTTTTGGTTATACCAAATAGTGTCAGGAGGCGGATCCATGGATGTGTGCATCAGTAGCAATTAATTAAGAAAGGCTGAATCTTGTTTTTCCAACATACTATCATGTGCACCGTTATGCCTGACGATCTCTTGGTATCCATAGCAGATCGCCTATAGCACATAATCAGGGCATAATAGGAATGATGAAAATAGTATACCAAAAAGAAATATTCACAGCAAAACCCTGTTAAGCTGTACAAATAATAAACGCTAGTTACTTTGACAGATTTGTATAATAAAAGTGTTGGTCTCACCCCGTTGGCTGTATTTTTGTTCCGGTGAGTACGTGTCCTGCAAAAAGGCTAAACACGTATATTTGACAGTAGGCTTGTATAGTTTTTGTACAATGATACATGGTTGACATGGTTCTGATACGTATCCGTATACTTGAGAAGTACACTTGTACAAATTTTTAGTGCATGTAATTGGCGGTACAAAGGAACTTGACTTTTAATATTTTAGAATAAAATGCCTAACAACCACATACTCGCTTTGGCTGGATGTGATTCTCAAAAAAAATTGTGTCAAGTACGTTGACTCTGCACTTCCCATGCAACGTTCTCATCGGTTCATAAACTATTAAATTAGTTCCTCAGAACTAGATACAAACATGTATAAAAAAAATTAAATGGATTACTAATACTGATATGTGCGTAAAATTAATGGGGTTCGAAGTATATAAATACACTGCTTCCAAAAAATGATATATAGCCTCCCACACCCCCTACAAACCCCAACCCCAGATTTTCAACCCAAACAAAACTTTTCTGAAAATGATCAGGAGCTTCTGAAACATCAAAAAGCTTTTGAGACCTTGGCATAGCAGTAACACTATGTAAAAATTTCATCCAAATCCGAGTGGTACTTCTCAAGTTGTAAGATCAGCGGATAGACCGACGAAAATGAGTGACATGGTTTTTCGTGATGTACAAAAAACATATCTCATTTTCGAAAATTATCGCGATTACAATATTTCCCCCCAGTAAGCATGGAAAGTGAAAAGATAAAACAAGGTCAGCATCTGGTATAAACAGTGACAAACGACAGGTTCTAAACAGAATAATAGAGTTGCAAAAGCTAACAGACTACATGTGCACTTGTGCAAGCCCGACTTGTAGAAGTAACCGGGTGGAAATTCAAACATGTCTACAAGTACATTTTTCCATACATACCTTTATATAACATATTACAACTTAGAATACAAGGTTTACCTACAGAATTAACCGTATCAAACACTCGAACCCTCTATGTAAAAAATGTGTGTGAGAGAGATACATAGTCACTGCTAAGCACTTAACCTTCGATTTCTCAGCGATAATCCCAACTTGACAAATCAAGGGGGAAAACAGGGGTGCACACTCCAAAGAATAGCCAAATTTAATAAGAGCTCGACTGAAGATTCATGCCTGTGAAACTACTAAATAGGAAACTGAATCCTATAACCCACTTGTAACAAGAAAAGTGTGCAGCAACTCATCGACTTGAGCTTTACTTAACTTTTTTGATATTTCATTTTGGAAATCTCCCTAAAATTAATTCCATTATATGTTTTCGTAAAAAAATTTAGGTGACCCGAGACCTGACCTCCACTTTGAATGATTGGAACTCTTCGCAACGCTCCAGTAATGGCCGACAACTCCATATAACATAGTTTCCAAGTTCTTGGGAAAGTTTGTTTGGAAGTTTAATGAGGTGATTGGAGAGAGTTCACTTGGTCTCTATTCCCCCATGTGTATCCCAGAACTTTGAAATTAATCTCATTAATTTTGTAGCAGTTTTTATATAGAATTAAACCAACGGTGATGGATAATCAAAAATTATCGGCGGTCAAAATCATTCAGCTTACAGAGTATATGAACAAATATAGTTCCAGACTTTATGAATAGTACGAAACCATTTTTCTCTTAAAAATTACAAAGTGGAACCTGTTTCAGTTTTTGACTATTATATCTAATTGTTGCTACATTTTTAAATTTAAGCTGTCCAGCGGCGTAAACGCTTTAGTAAACTGAGCATTTAGGATCTCATTCTGAAGGTCTTTTCGGTATATATACGCTGGAGTTACTTTTCAAGCTTTATAGCGTTTAATAAAAGTTATTTAGCTGATTTTCTTTATAACCGGGCGAGGAGCTTTTTTTTAAATTCTAGATATCCTGAGCTATGCACCCTTTTATTAAAGCATTTCTCTAGTACCAGTGTTTAATGTGATTCATGTATTCAAAGTATAAGAAGCTTACATCTAATTTGAAACCTGAGGAAAGAGTATCATGAGTCCTTTGTAAAGCATCAAGTGATATAAGAATGACTAAACACGAATCAATTGATCTACTCAACATGGAATGATAAATCATTAACAAAACAGTTAAATCAAAATCTATAAATCTCCCTCTGCAACCTATAGCGCTAGGCAAACATTCTGTAAATATCACAGTACATTAACTCGAACAGCAATTCATCGAGTTCATCTCTTAATTTCTGGATTTAGCTGTGCTATATGCCAGCATTAATTCATTACTTTGGTAATTAGTATCCAAGCTCAGTGACCCGCATGCTTTTAGAGACGAATATTGTCAACTATACATAGTGGTTAAAACTAGATACAAATACTTTACGCACCCAGTAGGTTGATTCTACACATCTCGTGCTCGATATCAATTCAAATGTAAAGAGCCTTATTACATTTTAGAACCTTTTGGACCTCTTGAGTGATGAAGTATGTTTTTGAAGTATCTGATGACATGGTGCTTATGGAATATTAATAAATGATTTTTAAAATTCTGGATCCTTTGATGGAATCAGAAAAAAAAAATAATACAAACGATGCCACCGCATGGGTAGCTTGAAGTCAAAGTCAGACGCCACATTTCTGACGGGAAATTGACATTTGATCATTATTGCATACCTGGCCTTACTTTCACCGACGAAATGTAATTATCTAACAAATCATCATCGAACACCTCACGATGTCTTTCCCTTTTCGGTTTGTTTGACATCTAAATTTTGAGATTGCAGTCGTACATTGCGATCATCATCGTCATCGGTAGCACAGAAATCAAAAGAGGCTGCTGAAAGTCGTCTAAGATTTCCTTCATGAAATGAGGCACGAAGCCTATCACTTAGCTGACGCTGACGCACGAAGAAAATAGGTTATTATTACATTTTGACAGAGTGTCATTCTACAGAGTGTACAAAAATCTTGATAAATAATGGAGGGGCTAATTGAAGTTCAGCATCTTGGAAAATACAATCTTGCTGGATGTGCAATCCATAAATCCATAAAACAGGATTCAAACTTCCAACCTCGAACTACGCAAATAGAATGAAATTAGTCTGAACTCAGCAAGTAAGAGACGTTGAAGAGCTTAGAACGAGCGGACAAAATTACTTAATAAGCGCTCTAGCCACAGTGGCAAAAGCAAACATTTTATAGAGTATAGTAAAAATGAAATATATTCACTAGTATCATACTAGGTTATTGCTTACTTTTTTCTCTTTATAGCAGGTATCCATTCATTTCTCTGCTCTAATTTCAAATGATGGTACAGGAAACGTATAAAATTTGCAAGTCCTGTTTTTTTATTGTTTTTACAGTATACAATGAACATTGTGACCCATGTCGAGAATTTGAGGGTTTTTATATGAAAATATTTAATAAATTTAGTGTGAGATTATGTGAAATATAGTAATTTGATACATATCTGACACATCTTGCACATTTCATTGCTCGATATGGGACAAGGGTTTTATCCCTCATTCTGGTAAATTACGGAAACAATTTGATATTTCATACAATGAAAAAACAATATTATTATTATAAAATATTGAAAATGAATTAATGATATCTACGTACTTTGATCTCTCTCTAACATCTTACCACAGGTATGTTAGGCATCTGTGCACTTTTTTAGTATACAACCTCGACGATCAGTAGTAACCTGTAATGACATACTAATTTATGAATGAATCCAAAAAACTAAATTCGCTGCAATTGGCACCGTCTTATATTTATAGGCTGGGAGATTCACGCCACATTTACATTTAGATTATATTTTGGAAACATCAGAACACCATTTATTGGATACAAAAAACTCATACACAGTAATTAAAAAACAATGGCAATATCTCTAGAGCAGAAAGTACACCAAAAAAATGACATGAATAATTACTATAAACATAAGTTTTAAAATTAGAGTGTGTTAAAAGCTTGATATACCCACTGTAACTCAAATATTCAACCAATCAATCTCCAAAAGGAATGGACTGGATAGACAATTTATGTAACATTAAACACCCTATCTAAAAATGCAATAGATTTTGCAGAAAAGTTAGTGGCGCAGAGAATATTTGTCTTTTCCGTTCTGTAGGGGTTACCCCAGTTTCTACACCTGATGGTTATAGCCACTAAAATTTTTGTGTGTATTGCTTATGTTGGTAGTACTGCATGTGCCTATGATTATGTGAACTTTTAGTGCCATTATATGTTTGAACCTCCGTAGAAGTATTGTCTTTGTATCATCCTATGTCTCTTTGGATAGTAGCCGTGTCATAGTCAGAACCAGAAAAACAGATAAAAAATCCGAAGGAATGGTAGATTAAGAATAAATGATTTATTTTTTATTTTTTTCATCCTCTTTGTTCGAAACACGATACTAGTCCCTTGAATATTCGTCGTGTGTTTATCAAATACTCCGAATACCTCGAATTCATTTATGGGAACATAATTTTCTGATATAACATACTCCCGGACTAATAGTGGCGCGAGTAGCAAGTTTATTGTTAGATGAGAGAAAATAAAAATATTCTACAAACGTCACGGAAAACTAAGTGCGCATATTACTATGTAGATTGATGTTACATATTTAAATGCAATAAAAGATGGATGTTATCTGGTTGATAAAATACACTGGCTAGGCGGACGCTCTCGCCATTAGAGTATATTATGTAATTTCGTGTTGAAGTTGGATATTTTTGGATGGTTGCGAACACCAAGCAGTGTATATTTAGGATTAAGAAAGTTGATTGGATGTTATATCCGAACTATATTATGCGTATTACTGATGGCTCCAAGAATACACCATATGTTCATAAAATCCTACAAAGCGGTTACAGTTATTAACATTTGCGGTGTAGACTTGGATTAGTCCACCGTGACTTTCCAAAAGTGGAGTTAATCCGAAGATGAGCGACATAAAATTCAATAAAATCAATTTCGATGTCTTTAAAATCACTAATCTATTTGAAATTAGAAACATGTCATCACAATATAGATTCACCATCTGTCTGAAATCATTAAGTATAAATTATGCCACAAGTTTTACATGTAATCTTTACTCATTATTCAAACTAACAAAACATCTTTTAATCATCTTGCTCCTGCGAAACGAAGTTGATTCTCAAAAATCACCAAATTATTAAATATACTTAGAAGGATACTAGCTTTTTAATATTTGATTTTAATCTGGGAGCAACCGCTAAGGCAGGTGTTCTGTTATATGTCCCCTCCCTCAGTTTGAATGCGAAGCATTATTGGGCGCCTATAGGAGTACATCAATAAAAATCAAGCCATGCAATCCAAATCGCGGTTGACTGTGCCCTAAATCTCGGTTCAGTAGCAGCTGGTGGGAGCAAAGAACGAAAAAGGATTTCTGACGGCTTCTGATCATTTTCGGATTTTTTTTGTAGGGGTTCATTGAAAATTGAAGGATATCATCAATAAAAGTCAAGCCACGCAATCCAAATCGTGGTTGCTTGTGCGCTAAATCTCGGTTCAGCAGCAGCGGGTGGGGAGCAAAGAACGAAAAAGGATTTCTGACGGCTTCTGATCATTTTCGGATTTTTTTTTGTAGGGGTTGGTTGAAAATTGAGGGATGAATGTTGTAAAATTAAATGATAAAAGTCCGATGTATGTATAATGTGCTCATAATTCGAAAGAACTTGCAATCGTCGGCTGCGGAACTACGGGCAAAATGAAAATAAAAATCGCTGGAACACAGTGTTACAAAGTTTCAGAGGCTCCTGTTCATTTTCAGACACTGTTTGGAGTTGTTGAAAATTGCAGGTTGGAAGCTGTATGCGGTAAATGGTTGTAAATTGTTGCATATTCAGTGAAAGACCTTCTATTATTAAGAAGCTGCTGATCTCAGTGATACTATGCACCTGTTAGGCATATTTTCCCTACATCTGCCATGGAAACAGAAATATGATAGATTTACTTTATATAGTTTCATGTGAAGAAGCCGAAGATTCATCGTACCTAATTGAATCTACCTAATCACGATTCGATTTCGCCTTTTGAAACGACTTGACTTATCCGTTTTATTTAAAACCTCCACGAAGGCGTAGGAAGTATAGAGTTGATCTACTTCACGCCATTTTTTTCAGAACAAATACATTTTTAATACATTTTCTTAATAATACAATAGTTATTCAGGTATACCAAGGTTTTCAATTCTTATCAATTTGTGCAGTTATTATTACTACTTTAAATGGAAAAATGTTCAATTTTTGGTAGAGTAAAAACAAATAATTATGAGTCGTGAAATATTCACAGATACTAAAGACAGTTTCGATAGTCTTACCACATAATGAAATAACGTTGCAATTTTCTTAAAGTGTAGGACTAGCCACTAAGGTCACATGTGAACTTATATGCCACTTCAGTTTGAATGCAGGATACTATTAAGCACCTATGGGAATATATAAAGCACGAGATCACGCGATCCAAATCGTGGATATTTTGCCGCCACATTCAAAAATGGCTACCAAGTGGTACAACCGTCTGACATATCTTCGTAACCAGTCAGCCAATTCTAATTTTTGTTAGACCCATTTTACTTCTTTTTTGAAACATATATTGTGATGATACATTTTTCGATTGATCCGATAATTATTCATACATGCTAGGGTCATCAATTCTTATGGTTTTACGAAGGTATTTATATAACACAACATGTAAAATGATCCATTTTTGAAGTTAAAACCAATTTCGAACAGTTAAAACTAAAGCATGGACTGATCCTGAAGGCATTTTTCGCTAATACCACGAAATCGAACTATGCATTCTGAATCTTTTAAAGACGAAAATTCGAACTATAAGACCATGTACTACGTATGCACCAGTAGTTGAATTATATTCCAAAATATACACAGCCGAATAATCACGTGGACTCTACTACAATGAACTGTCGATTAATCATTAAGCTGGACGAATATGTCTATGTATGTACCTTTGGTGTTGGCCTACTAATAGTTTGGATAGAAAAGAGAAAATTTGATTTGTCCGGGGTGTTCGCTTTGCCCGGCTTTCCCTACATTTAACATGCCTAGACTCCGACGACATTATGGAGAAAAGCTCGGACGAGTAAAGTTCGTTAAGCATATTGACTCAGACCACATTTATACAGTGTTTTTTTTGGTAGGTCTGCGTAAAGATGTAGGTCCGTCCTTCATCGAACATTCTTCCGACCAACGACGTCTACGAAACGAAATAACCAGCTTCGCATCGTTAATAACGTTAACCTGTATGGGTAACCCCGCATTACGAAACCAAATCGTGAAACGGCCCTGAAACGACCATTTTTGAATAATTTATCGCTGTTAGCGCGGTTATATGCTCACCAGCACCGCTCACGAATTCATCAAAATTGTGCTTTTTGCTGGAAATGGATAAGGAAATACCTTGGCTAGTCTCCAAAACGAAGCTTAGAAACCCATAAGCTTGAGAAGAATAAAAATATTAATACGAAACTGAAAAGTAATTATAACAGAAAATCGACATGAATTAACTTGAATCCGGAGAGATGAGAAAAATTGCTATACAATAAAGGGTGGCCAACCACATGAATGTGACGTCATCTACGACCTGTGGCTACCACGCAGGAATATGGTCTAAATATCGGTGGGTACCGTGGTACGATCTGATACCAACTTCCACCAGTGGACAATTACAACATCCGTCATAGCCAAGGGAAAAACTATTTTGCGATGGAATTCAAACCAGCGCAGCTCACGGCATCCAGCTTAGTAGAAGCAGATACCCAGGGTACTTAATTGGACATAGTAGGTAGGTAGCATGAATAGAGATATTATATATAAAGCCAATTAATGATGCTAATTATTTAGCAAAATATATATTGATTGTGACT